AGTGGATTTATACGACCCATCTAACAGTCCCTTCATGAGTATGTATAATAAGTTTTTATTTGTCATAATTTAAAAAATTTAAAAAATTATTATTCTATTTAAATTATATTATTTTATTTAAATTATATCACTTTCAAATTTAACACATATTTCATAAAAAGTCAAAAAATACACTTATTTAGATCATCTCAAACCACTCCTAAGTACTAAAAGGCATTTTGAAAAGTTGGTAAAAAGTTAATTTTTTAGCTTTTTAAACTTATTTTGTCTTTTTATGAATAAGCTATGTGAGAAGTGATGTGATCCAAAATGAGTAAAAAGTTAGAAGCAGACTTTTTACCAATTTCTCGAAAGACTCCGAAATATGTTAATGTAGTTTTTAAAATAAGAATTTTGCCTCATTGGATTTTTATATTTAATTTATATCAATTTAATACCTGAATTATGCAATGTATGGTTATTTTGGTCTTCCACAGCTATGGCAAACGTACGGATTTAAGCGGGTCAAAACGGGTTATTATTTAAAACAACACAACCTAAATCCGTCCATTTGATAAATAGACTTAAACAAATTTGGTTGATAAATAGACTTATTTTTTATGTTTTATTTTTAAAATTTTTATGACGACAATGGCAGTGACGGAGCAGAGGTGGTGGTGGCAAAGTAGTGGTGGTGGAGTGCAATAGTGGGGGAGGAGTTAGTGTTGGTGGTGAAGTTTACTTAAAATACAGATTAATGTTAATTTTTAATGTTATTACTTTTTTTATATTTCTCAAAAAAATTATTTACGTCAACCAAAAAAATAAATTATATAAAAATAATAAATACATTTGCTTTATTTTAATAATCTTTTAGTTTCTTAGAAAAAAAAATTCTCAAATTTTTTTGAAACCAAACTAGACATGTTTTTGGAGTTTGAAAAATGCCTTAGACCTCAAGTGGGGGTGACCCCCACCACTTTTACTGTTTTTTGATTGGTCCATATTTTTATTTTTTCTTTGTCTTCCACTTGTTGCGCCCCATGTGGAGGTGGGGGTGCTGGGGTCACCCTCACTAGGGGTTCCCAGCGGTGCTGTTTGGAGTTTATTACAAAAGGATTAAATATATTAAAATATTCTTTTCTACTTTGCAGTAGTTTAACATTGCAGAGGGTATTATCGAAATATTATTATAAATATAAAAAAATACAAAAAAAAAAAAATTGAATTATTAGCAACAGTTGGTGGAGTGATTTGTTCTATCATCATTTTTGCAACTTGACAACGTTCGAGTCTTCGGCTCTGTGGGTTCAATAGACAGCCCACACCAACCCGTTTAACCCGCATAACTAAGCAGGTTTAATTGTATTGCCCAATTATGACCCGTGCGCCTAACATTGCCACCTCTAGTCCTACGCTAGACATCAGGCACGGATATTTTTAAAACAAATAAAAACATATTTAATTTTATATTTTTAATAATTTTATAAGTACAAAATTAATATAATTGAAACATGACAGATGTATGAAGTGTCACATAATGCAAATTTGAGGGAACACCAACCTATTTAGTGGCCATTTGGGAAGAGGAGTAAGAAGTTGCGTTTTTAGTTCATGACAAAAAAAGTCATGGCAACAATAAATGCAAGAAAACCATTTGGGAGGTGAGAAAAACGCAGGCCTATGAAATTACGTAACTACCCTCTATGTTCAAACACACGCATGGGTGAAAAAGTAAATTTCTTAAGTTGGGTAAGAATATTTTGATTATTTTAATGTGATGTGATATCATAAAAAAATATTAAACCTAAAAGTCAAGAAGTAACTTTTGCTAACTTCTCAAATCACTTTCAAAAAATGCTAAAAAACTTGGTAAAAAATCAAAAGTCAATTTTTGATCAACTTCTCAAAACACCTAATCTTAATATCATTATAGTATTCTTGAGTTGAGCATGGAATATTAGTTTAAAATAGTTTTGATAGAATAATTATGATATGGGTAAATTACACAGACACGACCTGAGGCTTTTATTTAATACAAATCTTCCTCTCACATTTGAAAAATTATATTTTTCTCTTTGAGATTTGTAATCTCATTACAAATTAGCCCCTCGATCGCTGATAGCATGCCCTAATTTTTTTTAAATAACCATCTTGCATTTTTTCTTTCAATTTCTTTTTCCTATTATCATGACTTCATTCTACAACTTTTCATTATTAAATTTTACCTGAACATATTCTTATTGAGTAATGATATACAAATATAAATTTTATATAGAATTTTCAAAGACAATAATATAACTTTTTAAACCTTTCACTTTAAAATAAAACACCTATAAACATAATTTATATTTACAACAATATCACTATCACAACATTTTTATGATATTTTTTGTATAAATTTTTATATATGAAAATAATTTTTCATTTTTATTTCCACCATTATATCACAAAATATTATACTTCTTAAGTATATCTAGATTATGTGTATCTAAAAAAAAAAATTTGCTTAAAATATTAACAAATTCAGTAAAAATAAAAAAAAAAAACACAAAAAATTAAAAAAAAAAAGCTCAATTTTTCGTGTGAGTTAAACCAAAAAAAGATGATTGTTTTTCCCTTGAAATGACATGAATAAAATATCTGTATTATTGTATTATTTTATATGTAAAGAATAAGAGACAAATATGTTACTTCAATCTGATAAGAAGTAAGTGTAATTTTTCAAATATAAGAGAGAATCTATATTAAATTAAATCTCAAGGTGCCGGTGTAATTTACCCTTATGATATTCATATACGTTTTTTTGGGAGGTGGAGGGGTTGGTAATGCACAAGAGATGGTGTAAAAGAAAGATCATTGTAAGCCATGAATGATAATCCCTTGGAAATATCTTTGAAACACCTCATCCAAGCCATGCATATCCAATCACAGTAAAACAAAATCAAGTGGTATTTATCAGTAGCTTTCCTCAATCATGATGTTACATGCATGTCTGTGTTGATCATCTCAGCAAGTCAAACCTAAACCTAATCCATGCAATGGGCTCCATGCATCAAACATCATGTCCCCTCTATCCTATTCCTATGCACACTCACTCATATCTGTGTACGTAAATATATACTTATATATATATATTGGGTGTGTAGTTTCGGTATTCAAAATAGTTTACGTGTCCCATGAAAAAATAAATAAATAATTAAATAAGAGAGTGTATGAGAACTTTACCTTGACCATAAGTGTGAGATACAGATTTAAATTTAATATGATAATAAGTCTACTTATGAAGTGAATTTAGACTACATAATTCAATTTTAGGTATATAATAAGACAAAAAATTACGAAATATGAATCATCTATTGTGCATTGTTTATAGTGCATCTTGTAACTAAAATGATATTATTTTGTAGTTATGTTACATTTTTTATTTATTTATTTAAGTTTTGCTCCAAAATAATGTCGTTTTGAGACATTATAGACAATGCATTACAAAGGATCCAAATTCAAAATTATAAAGATAATGGTAGATATTTTCATTGCAAATGAAGCACCACAAGATGTTACATCAATCTGCATATAAATTCATCCTTACTCTATTAAAATGAAGAGAGAAAGAGGGGTTAAGAGAAATCTGAACATATCAATTTAAAATAAAAAATCCATTAAGATGTTTCTTAATATTAAAAATTTTACTGACACATTTTGATATAAAAAAATACAATATAAAAATTCTGAAAGAATTACATTTTTGGTCATTTTAGAATCTAATCCTAATATCTGATCTTTGGAGGTCAAACCAATTATCTACATAGGTTTAGAGTAGAACCTTATGTTTCATAATATAATCGATTGTCATGGGTTTGACCTAATAGGCTCCATCCATTGGGCCCAAATAAAATTGAATGTCCATAGTAATGTTTCGTTTTCTTTTTGTCCAAATGAATTTTTATTTAGTTCAGAATTAAATATCAATATATATATACATATATATATTAAAAATATATATGTGAACCTATAAGACTTACTAGAAGTATCTTTATTTTTATTTTTTTGATAAATTACAAATAAACCTCTTATGATTTGCTTAAAATATTAATTGCCCTTTGTAATTTTGAAAACTACATCTCATTCCTTCAAATTTTTAATTTCGTAACAAAAGACATATTTTATTAATAAATCATCATATCAATTAACATTTTAATGATGTCAGAAATTTATTTTAATTTATACTTTAAGTAATTTTATTATTGTGTAGGAGAACAGTTAAGAATTTTATTTTTTTTAGTTAATTCTGTTAAATAAAAAATTTTAATAATAAAGTATTCATAATTTTTCAAATCATAGGAGACAATTCATATTTTAAGAAAATTTTAAGGAGTATGTTTGCAATTTACCTTTTTTTAGAACTTTTTAAGGTTTAATTCTTTATATATAGACTAAATTTAATCATCAAATAAAACTAAAAAGAAAGAAAATTGCCAAGGATTATTTAGATTGTTGCAAGGCTATCAACCAAATATAAATCAATCATATAGAATCAATTACATGAAATAATGTTAGTCATTCATATCAAATGATAAGGACCTTTCATAAAAAAAATAATTTGACTCAGATTATTTCATCTATGTTTTATGTAATTGATTATGTGTTCATGGACTTATTGAATATAAACAAGACAACAATACATACAAAATTGAAAAGGACTATGATGACTATCAAAGAACAGCCCCCAAAAGGTTGGATGGTGCAACACAGACAGAATGTTTGGTTTGTTGGAATGAAATAGAATGAAATTATCATTCTATCAAAAATGTTCATTTTCATGCTTAGTTAACTAAAAAATAATTGGAAATATATTGCAAAAGAAATCACCATTCACCATTGTAAGAGAATAATCATTCTATAGAAGTAAGAGAATGATCATTCTATAGGAGAGCTTAAGGAATGATCATTCTATTTCATTCCATCTCGTTCCAGTGAATAAAATAAAGCACAACTTATTGGGGCAAGGAGACGCAACATTTTTAGAACAGAATTCTCAGCCACCTTTAACGGTTATACCAACAAATTTATGTATTGTCTACCCTAGTAACAGAAGTAATACAAAAATTGAGATTGCAGAGGTTTAAAGATTGCAGAAGTTGACAGCAAACTAAAAGAAAAAAATGTGTACAAATAGAACTTGTGACATTTGAACATCATGAACAACTCTCATAACTCCAAAACTATGCATCATTTCTTATACTTGCCCTGTACTGAAATACTACAAATGATGCAGAATTTCAGATTTCTTTTCCTTCTCACTCCTCAACTCTATTTCCTTGTCTGTAACAATCTTGTGAGTTTTTTAAGACCAAAGACCTCGTTCAGAAAATATTTATATACCATATCACAAACATGTATATGTCCATATCCTCATACTGTCTTCCACCCGAGCTCAACGTGTATCACTCCATGCTTTGAATCTATCAAATGGTATTTCTGGTTGATATGACCGTTGTGCACTACATCAGCGAGATTAATATCTGTATATCCCAAAGACTCCTACAAAGTGCAAATAGTAGACTTATATAATTTTAAACTCCACGAAATGTGGTGGAAAATTGGGCACCAAAAGTAGGGTGATCATTACAAACCTTTGATCTGAAACTGATGCGTGACCGCTTGCTCAAGACCTCGATATGGATCCTATCACTTACAGGAGGCTCTTCAAGCATAAACTGGAATTCTTCATTCCATAGCGGGTCACGAGTTTTCTTGATAACCTGAAATCACCAGAGAGAATACTTCATGATTGTTACTTTTGTCTGATTGTAGTTTGGAAAAGAGCAACAAAAAGTACAGATACATCTCTTAATTAAGAGTTTAGAAACTTCTTAGGTTGAACTATGACACAAATAATGCATGAGCTTAAGAATTATAGTTAAGGTTCTCTAAGCCTGTGCTTGGATCAAGGATTTGAGAAGTGAAAGGAAAAAGACTGGGAAAAGTAAAAAAAATAGAAGCTAATGTTTTCACTTTTCCCTACCCTTTTCTTTTGCCTCCATAAATCCTACCTCAAATCATTGATCCAAACACAGCCTGAAGGACTAAAGTATACTATAACAACAATTAATACTAGAAAAGAAGAACAAAAACGAATAGAAAGAGAAATGATAAAGATGATACTTCGAAATTGCATCAAAACAGGTACAAATAATCCACCAAGCTGAATTACAATATTAGTTTACAAATTTGGATTCTCTCATATGCAATTAATATTGTATTCTGGGCTTGTTTTTCTCTAGTGCTTTTTTTTTTTTTTTTTGTTTTGCAAGATCAGTTTGATCTATAAGGCAATCGGAGTGATGTAGCAAAGGCTTTAGACACACAATTTGGTCGACAATTGAGTGGCTTCACTTATAAGTTGCATAAACAATACAAGCAACTTAAGGATGCAAAAGGGGAGGATTACACAAGAAGCCACCCACCTGCAAGTGTTACTCTTAATCAGTGGACATCTCTAATTGACAAATGGAATAGTAAAAAAAATCAAGGTAAAATTTTTTATGTTAATTGTCAAAAATTAGGTTTCTTATTACAAATGTTAACTTTTCTTGTTTTTATTGGTGTTTCAATTGTGTAGGAACAATCACTAACTAATGTGAATAATAGGATGCAAATGAAAACAAAACATCGATGTGGATCAAAATCAATCCCGGTCAGGGTATACAGCTCGGTGCGTTCTACACATTTATTTTATTGGATTAGTAGGCTTTGTTATTTAAATCATTGAATTAACATTGACAAACAAATGAAGCAGATAATTGCAAATGGAAAAGTGCCCGATTTAGCAGAATTTTACAAGTCCATCCACTACAATTCGGACACGCATGAATGGATTTCATCGGAGAGCCAAGTTAATTATGTATGTACAAGGCAATGCCTTTCAATTTTGATAATATTATTTATTTTGCTATGTAGGGTAGAATAACTTATACTTTGATTTATTTCAAATTAATAGGACAACCTGATACAGACGCAAGCAGAACACCTCTCGCAGACTAGTGCGATCCCCTTGACCCCAGAGGAGTTGTCAGTGAAGGTGCTTCAGCCAAGGCCAGGTTATGTAAAAGGACTCGGTATGAGGCCTTCTTTTTTTGTGAATACAACTGTTGCACCTGCTGAAAATAGTGACCATGTTCAATGCCTCGAGCTGCAAATAGCACAACAAAAAGAACAAATTGCAAGGTTTGAAAAGTCAGAGAAGAAACAAAGCAAGAAGATACAAAGTATCATCGAGTGTTTGAGACAGAAAGGTATCACAGGAAATTTTGAGAGTGGGGAAAGTTCAGATTCTGATTAACAAGCTTCTTGGTTAGTATATTATATTTCTATGCTAATTTAGTACAAATTTCTCCTTCAACTAAGATAGTGAACTATGCACGTAAAAGCCCGAGAAACATCACAAACACTGAAATATGCACGTGGCTCCCAATTAGGAAACTACTTTGAAATTTGCACTATTCCAACATGTAGGCATGAAACTACGTCGAGAACTAAGTCAAAAACTATTCTAACATGTAGGCATGGAACTAGTTGAAAAAATATGCAACAGCCACAAGACGGCCCGGGAAACACCTCAAACACCTCGGGACGGACCAATGTGAGTTGTGAAAACTTAC